CGGAAGAGCCTAAATAACGCAGGAAAACACCAACAGAGTTGAGGCACTTTGAGAAACTTTACTCCACATTCTTTGCATTTTCTCCTCTAAGCAAAACTGCCTGTTTTTAGAGCACACGCAGTTAAGATTCCCTCTTCGAGGCTCATATATTAGCCTCCTGCCTGACGCTGCTCCCTGAATTTAATTTTACATAGCTCTCAAAGTCACCTGCAGTACCACTTTGCACTCCAAGATCTCAAACCACAGCAGACACAAAGTTACTTAGCCCAGGCTTGCAAGGAATCTCTCTAGATATCTCAGCCATCAGTGAAACAGCTGCTCTTTAAAAACAGCCTCTCACAATAGCTCAGGATAAGTGAGCAACGCTGATATGCTCAAAATTGGCAGAAGTTGCGTCAACAGAATGGAATTGGTCACGCTGGAATTTGGCCAGGCTATTTGGGATTAACACCCTGAATATTGCAAAAGAGACACAAAAAGTTCTGTTTTAAGACAAGAACCATCAAACCATCCTCTAAATAACTGCAGTGCTTGGCCCTTTCCACCACTGGCCAGATGACTAACATGCTTTTGTATCACAGAGGCTCTTCCCTGGAGTCTACCTTCCACACACTGGTCAAGCCACACCCTGCTCAGCTTGAAAAAACAGAATTAAAGAGGAGGAAGAAAGTAATTTTCCTCTTTTTCCCTGTTACATAAATCAGAGGTGATGGATTTTTTTTTTTTAAGCATTCACAAAACCTCTGAAACTCCAGAAAAACACTTCTCCAGCTCTAATTCAATCATCCTTTTCTTGTCAAACACCATGCTAAACCAGCCAATTCCCATTTGATGTTCAGTCCTCTCACTTCAGCTAATCTTGTCAAAACATTTCATCTGTTAGCACCACTGGAGGACTGAGGTTCAGAAATGTTTTGAGGCCACTACAGAAATACTTGCTAGAAACATTCAAAGGCAGTATTAAAAAAAAATAAAAAAGAAAGGACATTTACTAGTTTCCACAGGACTTTTCCTTCATTATTCCAACTGAGACTAAATATTTCTAAATATTTAGCATCTGTTTACTCACTGCATCAAAGCAAAGAACCCTGAAGAACTGGGCTTGTGCACAGAATCCCCTTTGAGTGGGGTTCTTAATCTGCAGGTCGACTTGTAAAAAGCATGACTGAGGCAATGCAAAACCCTAAGAGATGTATGGCAAGACACACAGGGACAGAAATGGGCACTTAGGATACAATCAAGCTCACCAGAGTTAAAGAAAGAGATCCACTAGAAGATTCTGTGCTTAAGGCAAAAACGCGCAGCCAGCAATTGGCAATCAAGAAGCAGCAGCTGGCATCAAAGAAAAGGAAAAATGAGGTTCTGTGCACAGTAAAGAGGTTTTTAACTGACTTTACAACAGCAGGACAGAGCCACCTGTGCAACAGTAAGAGAAGAATGCAGTGCAAACAGCAGGCCACAGAGCAAAGAACCAGAGCTGTGCGGATGCAGTGGTAAGAGGTGACGTACATTGGCAAGCAGCACGAGGCCAGGATCCCTCTCTGTGATCCAGGGCAAGCACAGGAATTCACCCACTTTATCGGGCGCCTTTTCAGAGCACAGTCTCTGCTAGGTAGTTGTCTGCGTGGTTCCTCACTCCCCTCCACTAAATGTGTGCTGATGTTAGAGGGGATAGAGAAAAAAAGTGCTCAGTGAACAGCTTCCAGTAGTGCAGTTCAGTGTCTTCAGTGGAACTGCAGTTGCCTTCTCCTTCTGCTTGGTCCCAGGAGGTGATTTCCTGCAGGCTGGTGGAGCTCTGGGAGCTCCGACATTCCCAACATGCTCATGATAGAGCAAAGCCATCCGTTTCCCTCCTCCAGGAGAACACCAGGCAACCATACGCATGCCTCTCAGCCTTCCTGCCTCCTGGTACTGTCGGTGTTCTTCAGGGCACACAGGAGGCTGCAGAACAGCTCATACCAAAAGAAGACAAGGCCAGTAGAGACGGCAGCCTTCAGCAAGCTGGGCGAAAGGCCCTTAAAGAATCCGCCCGGGCCCTCCTCTCGCATGATCTGCCTCATGCAGTCCAGGAGACCCCTATACACCCGTACCTGGGAGAGAAATGGTGAAAAGGTTAAATGAGAAAAATCCAGGACAACTTACCTGGAAAAGAACACAGAGAGCCCCACCTGTACCACTGCAACATAATCTAGATGGAGATGCCTTTCTGGCTGTTACTGTAACCGAAAGTTTCAGAGAGTCCGTTTGTAGAGAGTGGGGTAGAGGAAAAGCCATCAGCAATGGCTTATGCAAATCATTCTAATTGAAAGCCCGTAAAACCTTTATGCTACAACAGCATGTATTATTTACGGTACAAGACTATGAAGTAAATATTTGAGATTGCGCTGCTACTGTTTTCCATCCCCTTCACTCTCTAAGGAGGGACAACTCTTCAGTTTTCTGACAGAAAGAAAACTCTAAATTAGCTGTCTCGCATCATCGTGTCACACTGTGAAGGCTTAACATCTTATGACACACCAATATTAAAAACAAATTCTGTACCTCACTGGAAGAGGAAAAGCATCCAATGCGATGGGTTAAGACTTCAAATGCCTATCCCAGTGTTTCTTGAGATACAGACCGATTTGCCTCTCAGATCCAAGGAATTCAAAGGAAAAGAAAATTTCCACATTTCACAGAAAAAAAGGATAGTTCCTTGCAAGATCTGTATTTGTCTGACAGTGTACTTTGAGGTGGTAAGGATGGTGCTAAAGAATACCAGAAGGATTTAATTTGCTTTGAATTTCAGGATGTTCTGTACGTAAGACACATGCTGAACACTTGGTGCCCATTCCTCATATCAAAATACTAATTGCAGCAAAGGATCCTGACAGACACGCAATCCCAGAATAAAGCTAGTGTCATCCTCTGCTAGTAATTTTGTCCTGAATCACAAATACCAAGCTCCAACTAGAAAAGTAAAGCAAATCGAAACCCCTTTGCCTGCCTAACTCAACCCCAGCTCTGAGACAGCCAACCTGATGGGGATGGATGAGAAGGCAGAGCACAGGTACGTTGGACAATGTCATAAAATGAACCCAGTTTATTTATACAGTTATTTCCATCATCAAGCAAGACCAATGCTCAGATCCCAGAAGCTCCCTGAGAGCTCCCAACCCGAACACAACAGGTACCACTGGTGAACCATCACTGCGTTCTGGTGATGACTGGCTCTGGATTGTCTTGATTCGAATCCACACTTATGAAAATCAGTCAATTCCAACATTTCTCACCTGCCCAAAGGCTGCCCGGGCACGCTCAAAGCCACCCACTTGCAGTCGTTTTTTGAACACGTCAAAAGGGTATGTGAGGGTTTTGCTGATGATTCCGGCGCAGCTGCCACAAACGAGGTTTTTAACATTGCCTGAGAAGCAGGAAGGGGAGAGGATAGTGGGGAGAGAAAAAAGAGGATTAGCAGGGAGTTCTGATTAAAGAGTCATCAGAGGTAAGTTAAAGGTCACTCTTCAGATGCTATGTTGAAAAGAGTGATAGGACTGAGAATTGAGTGTATGTCAGTTTCCCAGACTAGCATTCATCCTCTCTTTCTCTCCAGATCACAGACACCACTCTCCCAAGTGCCCACCTCCTTTCTTTCCTTCAGCTGGAATCAGCCATTCAGAAAACTGTTGCAGGATGTTGTAGAAGGAGAACTGGAGACCAGCATATGGAAAGATAGCAACGATCGTGGGGGTCAACCCTCTATAGAAAGTCCGAGGCCCTTCTGTCTGGTACATGGTCAGCACTGCATGGCGAAGGTTGCGATAGATCTAGACAACAAAGAAGAGGCTGACTCTCCAGTGAAACAGGCTTAAAAAGAGCAAACCAAAGGTCAGGTTATTGCCCAGTAATGAGGATAGGAATTTCCCACTGCCCAAAGTACAACTGACCGATTTTCAGCACAAAGACGTGGCCAAAGTGATTTTGCCCATCTTCACATGGTATTCTCAGCTAAGCCCTTGTGACTCTTACAAGTAAGCTGACGACCTAAACCTCTCTCTGAGCCACAGGAGACTAACTGAATGAACGATCATTAGCTCTGCACTGAAAGGCCCAGGCTGACATCGCATCCCACATCCAAGCTGTGCTTCTGAGGGGAAGAAACAGGACACAGAACTGAGAGCTGTGGCCTGAGACAACTTGCATCACAGACACAATTATTTTTCTCTTAACAGCTCTGCTTGCTGATGCAACGGAATTCTTGTAATATATATTGTGATTCTACTGCAGGCTATGTCAGAAACCAGAAGCAGCTCTGATACAAACGCATATGAGTCTAGTTATTACAGAGGTAATTAGCATGGAGACCAACTCGTGCATAAATAAGAACATGAAACACAGGTGAAAGGTTTCAAGTATCATCCCACCATTATCTAAACATGACTCTGCAAGTGGAAAATTTCAAACACACAATGTTCAACAGACTCAGGAGTGCATTCTGTAAATGGCCAACAGCTGAAACGCAAATGGAGTTATCCTGTTAAGGACAGTTTCTCCTTTCTGGATCACCTGTCAGGAGCCAAACATAATCAGGAGCAGCAAAATATAATTAGGAAAGCTGCGTCAACAGCACAGAAGATAACTTGGCAACAGTGCAAACACTGCCCAATAACAGCGCCTGCTCCTTTATGCTAACCCACAGACTGCTATGTGCTCCTCAAACCTCCTGTGTTCATATCCATGAAATATTGCCACTGCTACAGATGATAATTCCAAGCATTAATCCTCAACCATACCTTAGGCTCCCCCTGAGCAGCAAAGCGGGTGCGTAGTGTGTCTGAAACGACAACTGGGCTTGTGCAGCCAGCCAGTCCACCGCAGACGAAGTGCACAAAGGAATCGCGGGCATTGTATGAGGTGACGTTGTGCACGAGTTTTGTCAAGCTTTCAAACGCCATGAACTTACAGAAACAAACACACACAGGTCAAAGAGTCAGTCCTTATCACCGACGTGGATCTCCCACTCCTCTCTCATTTCACCCAAAGAGCTCCACCCACCACATGTAACCCTCTCTCTCTGTCCTTCAAAAGTCCTCCTCAACTTGCAACCTGTTGGAGCACGTTCTAAAATAATACCTTGTACAAATGACTGAGCAGCCCAGGGAACGCTTAGGATATTCGAATCTCTGACACTTCTGCTAAATCTTGCATTTGGAATTGTGCAAAACTCATTTTAATGCCCTATGTATCCTGAATTGTATTTTCTGTATTACAGTCAAACTGTCCGTTACTCTTTCAGCCACCACTCATAAAACACATTGCTAATATTTATAAGCGTAACAATGCTGTGTACAACATCATAATCAGCTTCAATGATTTTTTTACTAACAAGCTGTTGGGGAGATAGCGTGAACCAAAGCAAAAAACTACACGGGCTTGGAACATGAACAGCTTAGCCAAGCGTCAGGAAGGGTTTGTCTATAAGAGCATCTATAGACAGAACTGGGTTTGCTCTAGCTGTGCTCCAGGCAGGCTGCTCAGCAAACTCAGGAACATTAACTTAGAAATTATACATCAGCATTATACAACTACACATTTCTGAGACTGGAGCTGGCTTGCATCGGCATGGTTTAAACCTGGACCTTTCAGCATCTGCCCATGTAGCCAGACAGAAGAGGAGCAAAGCAGAGTCCTACACATGTATGCTGGCCCCAGCTGATGTCCGGTCACTCTACCTGAACAGCTCCATAGCCAACTGAAAGGAACTGCGCGGGAACATGGCCCTTCCAGAAGGCTACCAACCCTTCTTCCTGGAAGATGCGCTGTACTGCTTGCAAGATGCTGTGATACTTAGCCCCTGGGTTTCTGGAGGAGAGCTGCTCGATCTGAAGCTGGAGAAAAATAGAAAAAATATTTTCAATTCCACATCACAGGTATTCATAGCCCTGTCAACCAACCAATGCTAAGAAATGACATTCTGCCTTCCCACAGAATCACATATAGAACTGAATGGGTGTTATTTACATACAGCTGTAAAAGAATAAAAACATGCAGGCACCGTAAAAGTAATAAGTAGGGACAGTGGTGAAATTCAGTTAGATAGGAGATCATTCAGAAAAAAACAGAGAAAGAGAACAAACTACAAAAAACACAAGACCCTGCTCAAACACACAAGTTATATAAACAGAAGCGGTTGACACAAGACAGCCGTACTACCTTGCATAACCCGGATACGATGTAGGTGAGGGCTGAGGAGTGGATTTAGCGCTCCCCGGTTGCACAAGTAACCTGTTCACCCAGGACAAGACCAGCTCTGCCCTCTAACAGCCTCTTCCACCCCATCCCCACGCGTGCCCCGAGGAAGGTACCTGAAAGCGGATCTTGATGACATCCAAGGGGCTGACGAG